CCCGTCTGTAGCATGACAACTTTCCCCGGCTGTAGCGTGACAACTTTCCCCGGCTGTAGCGTGACAACTTTCCCCGGCTGTAGCGTGACAACTTTCCCCGGCTGTAGCGTGACAACTTCCCCCGGCTGTAGCGTGACAACTTCCCCCGTCTGTAGCATGACAACTTCCCCCGGCTGTACCGTGACAACTTCTCCCGGCTGTAGCGTGACAACTTTCCCCGGCTGTAGCGCGACAACTTTCCCCGGCTTTAGCGTGACAACTTTCCCCGGCTGTAGCGTGACAACTTCCCCCTGCTGTAGCGTGATAACTTTCCCCGGTTATAGCGAGACAACTTCCCCCGGCTGTAGCGTCACAACTTCCTCCGGCTGTAGCGTGACAACTTTCCCCGGCAGTAGCGTGACAACTTCTCCCGGCTGTAGCGTGACAACTTCCCCCGTCTGTAGCATGACAACTTCCCCCGGCTGTAGCGTGACAACTTTCCCCGTCTGTAGCATGGCAACTTCCCCGGCTGTAACGTGACAACTTTCCCCGGCTGTAGCGTGACAACTTTCCCCGGCTGTAGCGTGACAACTTTCCCCGGCTGTACCGTGACAACTTTCCCCGGCTGTAGCATGACAACTTCCCCCGGCAGTAGCGTGACAACTTCCCCCGTCTGTAGCATGACAACTTCCCCCGGCTGTACCGTGACAACTTCTCCCGGCTGTAGCGTGACAACTTTCCCCGGCTGTAGCGTGACAACTTTCCCCGGCTTTAGCGTGACAACTTTCCCCGGCTGTAGCGTGACAACTTCCCCCTGCTGTAGCGTGATAACTTTCCCCGGTTATAGCGAGACAACTTCCCCCGGCTGTAGCGTCACAACTTCCTCCGGCTGTAGCGTGACAACTTTCCCCGGCTGTAGCGTGACAACTTCTCCCGGCTGTAGCGTGACAACTTCCCCCGGCTGTAGCATGACAACTTCCCCCGGCTGTAGCGTGACAACTTTCCCCGTCTGTAGCATGGCAACTTCCCCGGCTGTAACGTGACAACTTCCCCCGGCTGTAGCGTGACAACTTCCCCCGGCTGTAGCGTGACAACTTTCCCCGGCTGTAGCGTGACAACTTTCCCCGGCTGTAGCGTGACAACTTTCCCCGGCTGTAGCGTGACAACTTTTCCCGGCTGTACCGTGAAAACTTTCCCCGGCTGTACCGTGACAACTTCTCCCGGCTGTAGCGTGACAACTTCCCCCGGCTGTAGCGTGACAACTTCCCCCGGCTGTAGCATGACAACTTCCCCCGGCTGTAGCATGACAACTTCCCCCGGCTGTAGCATGACAACTTCCCCCAGCTGTAGCGTGACAACTTCCCCCGTCTGTAGCATGACAACTTTCCCCGGCTGTAGCGTGACAACTTTCCCCGGCTGTAGCGTGGCAACTTTCCCCGGCTGTAGCGTGACAACTTTCCCCGGCTGTACCGTGACAACTTTCCCCGGCTGTAGCGTGACAACTTCCCCCGGCTGTAGCGTGACAACTTCCCCCGTCTGTAGCATGACAACTTCCCCCGGCTGTACCGTGACAACTTCTCCCGGCTGTAGCGTGACAACTTTCCCCGGCTGTAGCGTGACAACTTTCCCCGGCTTTAGCGTGACAACTTTCCCCGGCTGTAGCGTGACAACTTCCCCCTGCTGTAGCGTGATAACTTTCCCCGGTTATAGCGAGACAACTTTCCCCGGCTGTAGCGTGACAACTTCCTCCGGCTGTAGCGTGACAACTTTCCCCGGCAGTAGCGTGACAACTTCTCCGGGCTGTAGCGTGACAACTTCCCCCGTCTGTAGCATGACAACTTCCCCCGTCTGTAGCATGACAACTTTCCCCGGCTGTAGCATGACAACTTCCCCCGGCTGTAGCGTGACAACTTCCCCCGTCTGTAGCATGACAACTTCCCCCGGCTGTAGCATGACAACTTCCCCCGGCTGTAGCGTGACAACTTTCCCCGTCTGTAGCATGGCAACTTCCCCGGCTGTAACGTGACAACTTCCCCTGGCTGTAGCGTGACAACTTCCCCCGGCTGTAGCGTGACAACTTTCCCCGGCTGTAGCGTGACAACTTTCCCCGGCTGTAGCGTGACAACTTTCCCCGGCTGTAGCGTGACAACTTTTCCCGGCTGTACCGTGACAACTTTCCCCGGCTGTACCGTGACAACTTCTCCCGGCTGTAGCGTGACAACTTCCCCCGGCTGTAGCATGACAACTTCCCCCGGCTGTAGCATGACAACTTCCCCCGGCTGTAGCATGACAACTTCCCCCAGCTGTAGCGTGACAACTTCCCCCGTCTGTAGCATGACAACTTTCCCCGGCTGTAGCGTGACAACTTTCCCCAGCTGTAGCGTGACAACTTTCCCCGTCTGTAGCATGGCAACTTCCCCGGCTGTAACGTGACAACTTCCCCCGACTGTAGCGTGACAACTTCCCCCGGCTGTAGCGTGACAACTTTCCCCGGCTGTAGCGTGATAACTTTCCCCGGTTATAGCGAGACAACTTCCCCCGGCTGTAGCGTCACAACTTCCTCCGGCTGTAGCGTGACAACTTTCCCAGGCAGTAGCGTGACAACTTCTCCCGGCTGTAGCGTGACAACTTCCCCCGTCTGTAGCATGACAACTTCCCCCGTCTGTAGCATGACAACTTTCCCCGGCTGTAGCATGACAACTTCCCCCGGCTGTAGCGTGACAACTTCCCCCGTCTGTAGCATGACAACTTCCCCTGGCTGTAGCATGACAACTTCCCCCGGCTGTAGCGTGACAACTTTCCCCGTCTGTAGCATGGCAACTTCCCCGGCTGTAACGTGACAACTTCCCCGGCTGTAGCGTGACAACTTCCCCCGGCTGTAGCGTGACAACTTTCCCCGGCTGTAGCGTGACAACTTTCCCCGGCTGTAGCGTGACAACTTTCCCCGGCTGTAGCGTGACAACTTTTCCCGGCTGTACCGTGACAACTTTCCCCGGCTGTACCGTGACAACTTCTCCCGGCTGTAGCGTGACAACTTCCCCCGGCTGTAGCATGACAACTTCCCCCGGCTGTAGCATGACAACTTCCCCCGGCTGTAGCATGACAACTTCCCCCAGCTGTAGCGTGACAACTTCCCCCGTCTGTAGCATGACAACTTTCCCCGGCTGTAGCGTGACAACTTTCCCCGGCTGTAGCGTGACAACTTTCCCCGGCTGTACCGTGACAACTTTCCCCGGCTGTAGCGTGACAACTTCCCCCGGCTGTAGCGTGACAACTTCCCCCGTCTGTAGCATGACAACTTCCCCCGGCTGTACCGTGACAACTTCTCCCGGCTGTAGCGTGACAACTTTCCCCGGCTGTAGCGTGACAACTTTACCCGTCTGTAGCATGACAACTTCCCCGGCTGTAACGTGACAACTTCCCCCGGCTGTAGCGTGACAACTTCCCCCGGCTGTAGCGTGACAACTTTCCCCGGCTGTAGCGTGACAACTTTCCCCGGCTGTAGCGTGACAACTTTCCCCGGCTGTAGCGTGACAACTTTCCCCGGCTGTACCGTGACAACTTTCCCCGGCTGTACCGTGACAACTTCTCCCGGCTGTAGCGTGACAACTTTCCCCGGCTGTAGCATGACAACTTCCCCCGGCTGTAGCATGACAACTTCCCCCGGCTGTAGCATGACAACTTCCCCCGGCTGTAGCATGACAACTTCCACCGGCGGTAGCGTGACTACTTCCCCCGTCTGTAGCATGGCAACTTCCCCCGGCTGTAGCGTGACAACTTTCCCCGGCTGTAGCGTGACAACTTTCCCCGGCTGTAGCGTGGTAACTTTCCCCGGCTGTAGCGTGACAACTTTCCCCGGCTGTACCGTGACAACTTTCCCTGGCTGTAGCGTGACAACTTCCCCCAGCTGTAGCGTGACAACTTCCCCCGTCTGTAGCATGACAACTTCCCCCGGCTGTAACGTGACAACTTCCCCCGGCTGTAGCGTGACAACTTTCCCCGGCTGTACCGTGACAACTTCTCCCGGCTGTAGCGTGACAACTTTCCCCGGCTGTAGCGTGACAACTTTCCCCAGCTGTAGCGTGACAACTTTCCCCGGCTGTAGCGTGACAACTTCCCCCTGCTGTAGCGTGATAACTTTCCCCGGTTATAGCGAGACAACTTCCCCCGGCTGTAGCGTCACAACTTCCTCCGGCTGTAGCGTGACAACTTCTCCCGGCTGTATTGTGGACACTCATGAAATATAGCTGCGTCTACGGAACACAGTGACGTTAAAAGAACATTATAACAAGAAAACTTTGTGACATGAAGATAATTTCGTGACGTCAATCGAACGTTGTGACAATAACAGTTGTCCTAACAAAATCACATTCTTATTATCTCTTCAAAATAATGGGAGTTTCATAAAAATGTTACAAATGGCAAAGTATTTGTGACCACTTAAAATGAGCGTGATAACATCATCATTAAAACATAGTGGTAAAATGAAGAGAACATTTGCTTTTGCCATTTCATATCAATTTAATAATATGTAGAGAACATCCTGATACCGTCAAAACAACATTGTGTCAAGTAAATGGAAAGATAATTACCTTGCTTTGATAACTTCAGTGATGGCAAGAAGTTATCAAAGCAGCGAACTCTTTACATCCTGGAACATTAACTCAACATTATCACAGAACAAAAAACATATTCATGGAATGTGGATTGTGTTATGTCATGGAGGTAAAGTAAAATAAATATCAGGGGAATGTGCTGAGCCAGAATGACAATATAGCAGTAGGAAATGATGCGAGGACAAAGATATGGGATATCAGGCCGGGGTAAGGGAACTATACCCAACCACACTGACAGTTGGGAATCGAACGCCGACCTGGTAAGTAGCTAGGCGGTCGTAATACCAACTTCACGCAGTGGATAGGAAAATAGATGGAAGATCATATGAACTTAAGAGATTACTCTATGATGAAGACAAGATGGTGTGATCCCCGAGGGCCCAGCACGGTGGCAGGATGACGTACCAAGGATGCCACAAGGATAGTGGATGAGGTAGAGGTCGACGTAGGGCAGACCCAGGTCATCGAGGGACTTCTGCAGGAACCTGCCCACGTCCTTCTCACGGTTACCGTTAGCTGGCAGCTGAGGGAAAGGTCATTTACTTATTTACTGTCTACAGCTACCAGAGAGAGGAGTAGGTACACAGTATTTGGCCTGAAACACAGTGTATGGTAGAGAACAAAGGTAAATATAATCTACCTAACAGTCTTTATTTCTAGAAGAGAACACAGCTGAATATAATGATCCAATTAGGCGTCATTATCCCAGATCACTGCGTTATGTTTCATTGTGCCTCTGTTCTTCAGTAAAAAATAAAGCAACTATTAGATTAGGTAATAAACGCAGTGGTATGAAAAATATTGATATTAAATCTCGTAAAATTGTGAATTGAAGAGAAGTTGAACGTTGAGAATTTTAAGGTTTCAAAAAATTTTAGTCTAGAAATTTACCGGAACGACAAAAATAAAAGGTAAAACACTTCTTCAACATCTAATTATATCAAGAAAAATAATATATACTGAAACCAAAACAATAATGTGTTTATATTTAATCTCGATATAATAAAAGAAAGTTGTATTATACAGAAATGTTGCATTATTAGTAACTATCATGTGTACAGACGGTATATATTTGAAGAAAAGAAGGGAACTATCAGGGAGAAAGTGCCAAGTCTTTACGAAAATAGCACTGGGAAGAGGGTCAGGATAAGGATTTGGGATGGGACGGGGGGGGGGGGTGGGAGAAGGAATGGTGCCCAACCACTTAGACGGTGGAGGATTGAACGGCGACCTGCATGAAGCGAAATCGTAAATAAAACTTTAGATTTTGACACAAAATAAATGTATGTTTCTACATATATTTTTCAAATTAAAAATAATAATATTGTTGACATACTATGAAAATATTGTAACATGGAAGGACGCAAAACAGGACCGTGCATTACATGTATATATTAACACAAATTACAAGTGGTACAGGTACCACTGTACCCCTGGTCCTCACAGGTGACACTAGAGGTGCAGGTACCACTGTACCCCTGGTCATCACAGGTGACACTAGAGGTGCAGGTACCACTGTACCCCTGGTCCTCACAGGTGACACTAGAGGCACAGGTACCACTGTACCCCTGGTCCTCACAGGTGACAGTAGTGGTAGTAGTGGGAAGTGCGGCGTAGACCGGCAATTTTTTTTTTTCGACTGCCGGTCTTCGCACCCTGGGTTTCACAAACTTTTTTTCCCTATGCAGGTCAACTCACCCTGGGTTTCACAAACTTTTTTTTCTATGCCGGTCTACGCACCCTGGGGTTCACAAACTTTTTTTCCTATGCCGGTCTACTCACCCTGGGTTTTCTCGATTCAACTTGCCTAGGGATTAAAAAGCCGGTCCTTGGCATACCCAAATTTCGTTACCCCAGTGAACCTTGCACAGACATAACCAATGGTCAATGACGTCACCAGCTAGCCGCTGAGCGTTCCTGCACAGGCATGATCAAGGGGATTAAAAACCCGGTCTATGAGTCGTGTGTTTTGTGATACAACAGTAACCCTGAAACCTAATGTAAAATACCATCAACCCTAGACTATTTTAAATTTCCTATTTACTTCCAACCATCTGCCATTGCATGAAACAAAAGGGGAGCAGCACTGCAAGAAGTTATTTGTGTATTTTTCGAGTTCTTCCCCTGTTACCTGTATTTACCCAGGTATTTTCCTAAATCTAAAAAAAAAATCCAATTCATTCCTGTTCTGTTTCATGACATAAGAACATAAGAACAAAGGTAACTGCAGAAGGCCTATTGGCCCATACGAGGCAGCTCCTATTCTATAACCACCCAATCCCACTCATATACTTGTCCAACCCGTGCTTGAAACAATCGAGGGACCCCACCTCCACAATGTTACGCGGCAATTGGTTCCACAAATCAACAACCCTGTTACTGAACCAGTATTTACCCAAGTCTTTCCTAAATCTAAACTTATCCAATTTATACCCATTGTTTCGTGTTCTGTCCTGTGTTGATACTTTTAATACCCTACCAATATCCCCCCGGTTATGTCCATTCATCCACTTGTAAACCTCTATCATGTCACCCCTAACTCTTCGCCTTTCCAGTGAATGCAACTTAAGCTTTGTTAATCTTTCTTCATATGAAAGATTTCTAATTTGGGGAATTAACTTAGTCATCCTACGCTGGACACGTTCAAGTGAATTTATATCCATTCTATAATATGGCGACCAAAACTGAACTGCATAATCTAAATGGGGCCTAACTAGAGCAAGATATAGCTTGAGAACCACACCAGGTGTCTTGTTACTAACGCTGCGATTAATAAATCCAAGTGTCCGATTTGCCTTATTACGAACATTTATGCATTGATCCTTTTGTTTTAAATTCTTACTAATCATAACTCCCAGATCCCTTTCGCAATCCGACTTCGCAATCACAACACCATCTAGCTCGTATCTTGTAACTCTATCATCATTACCTAACCTCAGAACTTTACATTTATCAGCATTAAACTGCATCTGCCAATCCTTTGACCATTTCAAAACCCTATCTAGATCAACTTGAAGTGATAGTGAGTCCTCCTCCGAATTAATTTCCCTACCGATTTTCGTATCATCGGCAAATTTGCAAATGTTGCTACTCAAACCTGAATCTAAATCATTTATATATATTATAAACAACAGAGGTCCCAGGACAGAGCCTTGAGGCACTCCACTTACAACATTTTCCCACTCTGACTTGATTCCATTTATACTAACTCTCTGTTTCCTTTGGTATAGCCATGCCCTAATCCAGCTTAATATAGCACCCCCAATACCATGAGACTCTATCTTTTTAATCAGTCTTTCATGTGGCACTGTATCAAAAGCTTTGCTAAAGTCAAGGTATACAACATCGCAATCCTTACCACTATCAACTGCCTCAACAATGCTAGAATAAAAAGATAACAAATTTGTTAAACATGAACGGCCATTTATAAAACCATGTTGCGACTCAATTATTAATTTATGTTTTTCAAGATGAAGACGAATTTTATTTGCTATTATAGATTCGAGTAACTTTCCCACAATAGACGTTAGGCTAATTGGTCGATAGTTAGACGCAAGTGATCTATCTCCTTTCTTAAAAACTGGTATCACATTAGCAACTTTCCAAAACTCTGGCACTCTGCCTGACTCTATTGATTTATTAAATATGGTTGACAGTGGGTCACAAAGCTCCTCTTTGCATTCTTTAAGCACCCTGGCAAACACTTCATCCGGCCCTGGGGATTTGTTTGGTTTGAGTTTTACTATTTGTTTAAGAACATCCTCCCTGGTAACTGCTAAACTCGTCAACCTGTCCTCGTCCCCACCCACATAGACTTGTTCGGCTGAAGGCATATTGTTAAGTTCCTCTTTAGTAAATACAGATACAAAATATTTATTAAAAATACTACTCATCTCTTCATCACTATCTGTTATTTGACCTGTCTCAGTTTTTAATGGACCTATCCTTTCCCTAGTCTTAGTACGATATAACTGAAAAAACCCTTTAGGATTTGTCTTTGCTTGCCCTGCTATGCGAACTTCATAGTTTCTTTTTGCTTTCCTTATCTCTTTTTTAACATTTCTAACCAGTTGTACGAATTCCTGTTCTAAAGTGACCTCCCCATTTTTAATTCTTTTGTACCAAGCTCTCTTTTTACCTATAAGGTTCTTCAAATTCTTTGTTATCCACTTTGGGTCATTAGTATTCGATCTATTCAATTTGTATGGTATACTACGTTCCTGTGCTTTGTTTAGAATATTCTTAAATAAGTTATATATTGAATCCACATCGAAATCCCCATTTAAGTCACCTATCGCTGGGTTCATGTCTCGCTCCAAGACCGGCCCACACCCCATACCCAAGACTTTCCAATCAATTTGACCCAAAAAATTTCTTAGGCTATTAAAATCAGCTTTTCGAAAATCTGGCACTTTAACAGAATTTTCTCCTACTGGTCTATTCCATTCTATGCTAAATCTGATTTCTTTGTGATCACTGCTCCCTAGCTCACTCCCTATTTCGATGTCATTAATTTGCGTTTCCCTGTTAGTTAACACTAAATCTAAAATATTATTTTCCCGTGTTGGTTCCTTAATGTGTTGCGTAAGAAAGCAATCGTCAATTAATTCTAGAAAATCTTCTGCTTCACTATTCCCTGTTTTGTTCAACCAGTTTATTCCGCTAAAATTAAAGTCACCCATGACATAAATACTGTTAGATCTAGATGCTCTAGATATTTCATCCCATAGATGCTTTGCTTCCATTCTGTCTAAATTTGGTGGCCTATATATTACTCCTATTATAATATTATTAGCTTTTTCGTTTAATTCAATCCAAATAGTTTCTGTGTGTGGCTCTGTTTTGATTCCCTCTTTGAGACTACATTTCAAATTGTCCCTAACATATATGGCTACTCCACCTCCTCGTCTAATATATCTATCTGTGTGAAATAGTTTAAATCCATATATTTGATATTCAGCTAATAGTTCTCTATTTTCTACATTCATCCACGTTTCGGTAAGTGCAATAATATCTATTTTTTCTGTGCAGACAAGAGCATTTAATTCGTTAATTTTATTTCTTAGACTTCTACTGTTAGTGTAATATACCCTAAGTGAATTGTTATTTTGCGGACCTTCTCTTTCCCTGATCGTTTTGCCAATTCCTTTCTCCCACAAACACATACTTTTATTACCTCCTTCCTCCAAATCAATTCCCATACCTCTATCTACTAACAGTTTAAACCCAAACAAACACCTCTAACCACTTCTTCTAACGAGTTCGCAACAGCAACAACCCCAGCTCTCGATAGATGCACCCCATCACGAGCATACATTTCATTTCTTCCATAGAAGTGTTCCCAGTTGTCTATGAAAGATATTGCATTTGATTTGCAATATCTTTCCAGCCGGCAATTGACACCAAGTGCCCTCGATATCCATTCATTTCCCACTCCCTTTCTTGGAAGAATGCCACATATGATCGGGATTCCTCCCTTGCTCCTAACTAACTCTATGGCTGTTTTATACCTCTGAATCAGTT